GACTTAATATAAGTTTGGGTATTTTGCTTTGAACCCATTCAATATGGGGTTAAGTAGAAACTTGATAAGAGGCTCCAGCAAAACATTTTTATGTGCATATATATACCAACTAATGAAGAAGTGTTTGAGGATTTAGGCCTGAAACTTGGGCCTAAGATATTAGCCCAGCCTAGTCCTTTACGGACTCGAGTAAGCTTCTAAGCCTATAGATATAAATGTATTTTATATTAAAAGTATAATATTTGACACTATATGATATATAATATATGTATAAAATAATTACTGTAAGAAGACTTTCAAACCTAAACAATCTGCTCAAGCCAAACCAAACCCACCTGATGCCATCCTAAGTTGTATTGTATTTAGCTTAGGTGGGGTTTGAGTTGGCAAACTAGGGCTTTGGCCTTGGTTTGTGGCTGGGCCCAATGTGTATGTCTAGGGATAGGCTTGGGTTGATCTACTACTACATCCAATTTATATCTCTAGTTAAAAGTAGAGGGATTTGGCGAGATTTAAGATAGAAAGAGAAATTTAATGGAGAGAGAGAGAGGGAGAGAGAGAGAGAGAGAGATTGTTAAGGGTTGAGATTGTTGTGTGATTTTTAAAATTTTAACTAATTTGAAATATAAAAAAGAACACGTATAAGAAAGGAGAGGAGATGCCATTTAGAAGAAGAAAAAGAAGAAAGGAGAGGAGATAGTTAAGTGTTTTGTTTATCTTTAATAGGCCTAGGTTTTGGAAGTCCACATAGAGCCCATTTTTGCGTATAAAGTTTTCATTATATTACTGAACTTTGGAACAAAAATGGGCCAAATACCCTTCCGGGCCGAGGTTAAGCTATATGATTGATGAATTTTGTGAGCTTCATAAACTGGGCTTAAAACATTCAAAATTTCAAATGAACTATCCAACTTTACGTCTGCGCCTGCAAGGATGAAAATCCATTAATGCATCTTATTGGGCCCTAAAAGGCTTAAATAATTCTGGGCCGAGGTTGCTTTCAAACGAAACAACTGGCTCCACCCCCAAATTTTTTTGTCAACTTTCTCCCCCTTTTGCATGAAGCAAATGACTAATGGTTACTCATCATCAATTGTAATTTTATTGTGACGTTAGGCTTTTGATCTGATCCAGTGGGGCTCCACCTTTGAAGATTTCATTCAGATCGTCTCCCTACATGCACATCTCAGTGTGCATTTTGAATATCTCACTTATTTGTCATGGAGAGATTCCCAACACACGGTTGAAATGTACTGTGGGGTGCACTCCGAGGGGAGAACTCGCCTTTGAAGCCTTGTGCTTTGAGTCTCTCCATCCATCCATTCAATGGCTAACCTTACACTAAGTAAATAACTAGCTACTACCCTTCTTGTCCTTTTAGTAGTCAAAAGGTCCATTCCTCATTAACTCATTCCATCTTAAACTCGCTCGATGGAAATTTGGCTTTCATGGAATATTTCATTCTTAAAAGGTGGTGGTGGGTAGCATTTTTTCCCTGAATCTACCAACGCACCAAATGCTGTGATTTTTCTCCCAGGTTGTGGTTCAGACTGCAGTAAACGTTCTTGAAAATTCCGAACCCACACCTAACCCAACTAGGATTACTAAATGGGTCTGGTTTGGGCCTTAGATATGATTCTTCTTGCCCAGTCCATTTCTGTCCTTGGTTGTTTGAGTATTGTACAATATATGATAGCCAAACATGAGAGTAGTATTAGGATGGATGACCTGCTGTACCCCACTTTTTATCAGATTTTGGTTTATTTTCAAAAAAAAAAAAAAAACAAACACTCCCTGAATGTTGTGCATTATTTGCTACTAATGGTGAAACTAGATTTGATTCAGTATAGAGAAGAGGAAGCCCTTACTGTTACTGGTGGCATATGTTGGCATCTATGCACCTCCAGCAGACCACTTTAGGTGGTCCAATTGGCATCTTGTTTGATCCAGCTGGTGGGTCGGTCACAGGTCGGACATTTATTCCTCTGTATTTTTGGGTTCTTTAGTCATTTCTATTAATAATAAATATCCTCATTCATCCAATTTGTTTTTGTTTAATATGATGAATGTATAATATAAGAGATGTGATTATTTTTTAATAATTTTCTGTATGTTTATTTATTTTATATCTTTTATCATTTAATTTTTGACACAATACCGAAATGAAAAATGATTCTATTTCTGAATTGATTTTTAAAACACTGGATTCTTTGGTCTAAATATTTTCGAAGAAATGTTTCCTCTTACCCAACAACATTACTTAATCCTTTCATTCAATGGATACCTACCTTTTATACTGCATTAATTAATTTTAACGAACAACCAATATATTTCCCTTGAACAGCTTCAAGCTCTGATGTGGGGTTTGACGAAAGAAGTCATGGTTGCTACGGAGGCACCAAGCCTCCTGATCAGAGTACTCTAGGATGGTCAAACGTCACCAGTATAGAACCAGGTCAATGGATCCAATGCACGTGGAAAAGCTACAATCAGTGCTTTAGGCTGGGTTTGGAAATAATGTAAATGGAGTGTAAATCTGGTTTAGGGTAAATTTGCACTTTGATTCATTTTTGCCTGTGTTTGGCAACATTACATTTATGCATTGACAAATGACAGATGAATGCGTATTTACATTAATAATAAGATGTAAAAGTACATTAATAAAAAGAAGTAAATTTGCATTCAAGTGGTCTTTTGATAAAAAAAAATAAATAAAACATATGCTTTATTGAAATTCATGTTTGCATTCATTACAGCTAAAAGTCTGTTTGGTAAGAAGGTGAATTTGTCAGTGCAAAACTAACCCAACTAATATGGATCTTATGAGATTTATTGGAGCATATACATTTGCATTCAAGAGGGATTTATTGGAGAGAGTAAATATGGATTTTATGAGAGACATTTAAGACCCATTGAAAATTTATCAAGAATGCAACTTAACTTGACCCAAGTTGCACCCTTATTTGATTTTAACATCATTTAGGTCTAGGTTAGAGTCTATATTTAGGGCTGGTTAAGGTTTGGCTCTTAATCTGATCCAAATACATCAAAGTTATACCCCTACTTTATTATGGAGAGCCAAAAGTGGTTAAGAGAGATTTAAGAGGAAATAAAGGATTTAATTGGGTAGGGGAGATGTTAAAAATATCGACTATGAAGAGAGAGAGAGAGAGGATTTATGATTATTAGAAACGATTAAGATATAATATGATTTTTAAACCCATGCAATGCATGGGGTTAAAAAGAAACTTAGTTAGGTTTAAAGTTTAGGGATTAGGTTTGGACCCATTGAAAATTTATTGAACTCTGAACCCAACATTATCCAAATTGTTCCCCCTATTTGAGTTTTAACATCACTTAGGTCTAGGCTAAAGTCCATACTTTGGGCTGGTCAAAGTTTGGCCCTTAACCAAATACATCTACCCCTACTTTATTATAGTGAACTAAAAGTGATTAAGAAACATTTAATAGAAAATAAGGGATTTGATAGGGTATGGGAGATGTTACAAATATTGTGTTATATATATATATATATATATATATATATATATATATATATATATATATATATGCCACAATACCTAAATGCCTCTTAAAATCTAAATTAGTTGTAACTTGTAATCAACCATTAGACTATTTTGGTTTGGCTTGGGTTGAACTCAACCACATCAAGCCATACCCAAATACTTGAAGTATATGCGCACATTCATTGGACCCTTTCAATTCGGCAAAGGAATCCCTTGTACAAGAGCTGGGAAAGTGATGACACCTCATGTATGAGTGGAAGTGTTTCATCCATTAGGACCTCATGCAATTAAACTCCTTTTTGTAAGGTTACAATTTGAAATTAGAACTACCCCACTCAAACTGTTTAGAAAATTAAATCCAAGAATTTGGAGAAGCTTTGAGGCGAAACTAAAGAGATTATCCTTAGAATGTTATTTGGCTCATTCAGTTTACTGAATTTGCTGTTGGGTTATTGGTAAATTTGTTCATAAGATACAACAAAGCCTTTTAGGTTGGAAACTACAATCAATAAAATTGAAGAATATCCAAAAAAATGTTCTATAAGACAGTAGTAGTTTTGATTGAGAGAGGTAAGAGTGTTTATATAGTGAGAACTGAGTAAAAACTTGTGTATAATCTAGTTTGGTTTACATCATTTTATAAATTATGGATTATCACCATGAGGAGTGTGTCTATTTGAATAAGTTTTTGTATAATCATAATTTTAAACTTTGTGATTGTTCACAGTTAATTAACAATTAATGATTATTAACACTTAAACAATGTCTCTTGATCACACTCAATCAAGTTGTGACCATTAGATTAAATTAAAATATTAATGGTATTTTATCGTAGTGTGGGCCCTGTATATTTTATCAAAAACCCATTTTTGCTACAACAGTACTGTAGCGTAGGGATAGAACATAAAATTAAGGCCTTTGATTTATATCTGTGGCCCACCAAGATGTCAGTTAATTTAATTGAAGGTGAGGCCACATCAATAAATCAAAGGCTTTGATATTGTTATTTCAACTTGGTGCTACGACAGTGTCATAGCAAATTAAATGTGTTGTTTGAGCATTATCATTGGTTTCATAGCTTGCTACACAGAACATTCAATTAATCCAATTTCCAAGCTGTGGAACCTAATTAGATGAAAGCTTTAGTCGTATAGCAAGCTGTGGAACCGGTGATAATGCCACATGCCAATGATAAAATATTAAAATACATGGAGCCCCACACTGACTGAGAGATTAAATGGTTGTGTGGCCATGTATTTCCTGACTACAGCCTCCAGAATTTCAGCAAACCCTATTTGTGTGCTTGTACCTTGTTATTGAAGTGGTCGTAGGTGAGATGTGCAGCTGAGTGTGGATATAGTCCTCTGGCCGAAGGTGAAATTTAAATACTCATTATGCAAAGGTAAAACATACAAGGAGCTTATATATATTTGCCTGTAAGGCTTTATTACTCCAAAACTAATCTATCTTGGTTTACATTGCAGCCGACCTTCCATGAGATTCAGACTTTGGTTTGAAGACCAGCATTTCTTCTCTTTTGAATTTCAGCCTTCTTGCTTCTTCATTTGAAATCTGGTAGGAATTGACGAGGATCTCTTCTGGCATGCTCCGAATGACTGAAGCCCTCCCAGCAAGTGAGCTGATCATTGCATTATCATTTGTCTTGAACGAAATCCATTCAAACCCATCATCTCCTGCTTGTTTCACTATGGCATAGTTTTGTGGAAGGATCAGGAGCTGGTTCTTACGAAGTTGCCCATCAAAGACGGTGTGTCCAGAGTCTCCAACAATCTGAACCCGGGCTTCACCACTAAGAACGTAGATCACACTATGTGCATTCATGTTCCAATGAGGAGATAACATAGAATTCTGCACATATTATCATAAATACAGATTCAGTACATTTTAAGAAATCATGAGTGAATAACCAATCAGAGGGAGGATGTGCAATTCCTTAGTAGTACCTTGTAGAGATATCCTCGTTCAGCACTAAGTTGAAGGAAGCCAAGGATAGGGAGGCTTTGGCTGTTGAGGTTGGTCACTCGTCCACCAAGTGGGGTATATATGTCAGCACTTGTGGCTTTATCAATGTTTTGTCTAAGTCTCATGTTGCAAAGGGTTTCCTCAAAACCATTTTCTTTTACATTCTTTTCTTGTTGTTGTTCCTCATCTTCACTCAATATTGACTTTATCACTTGAAGACCCTCTTTAACATGGATGATAGGTCCCCTCTGGTCATTTTCACCTTGAAGCTTTCTTGCTGTCTCCTTTCTCACACCGTAAGCCTGAGCCAGTAGCTTAACATCAAAGCCACTGAATATGTTGTTGCCAGAGCTCTCCTGTTCAGCTTTCTGCTGGCGCCGGGATGATGATGATCCTCTTTGTTGTTGCTGTTGCTGTTGTTGTTCTTGTTCTTCTTGTACATGACCAGCAAGGTAGAATTTCTTAACATGCACATCAAATGATCCATTGTAAGCATTTGATTCAGTATTCATGCATATACGAGAAGTGAAAGAGAATGGTTAATTTAGATTGCTTACTCTCATTCTATCATCAAGCTGGTTGACATTGTTGGTGGTGTCACTGAAAGAGAATGCAACAACTGGCGTGTCACCATCATTGTAAAACCAATAAGCAGCTCCATTGGGCACCGCAATAATGTCTCCCTGTTTGAAGAATCTAAGTTTCTGGTGTTGATCATCTAATCTTTGGCTTTTACTGTATTGATCCTCTGATCTTTTGCTTTTCCTGTCTTGCTTCGTAGATGTTTGGCTTCTACTGTCTTGATCCTCAGATTGCTGATGTCGTTGGAATGTTTCAGGGCAACCAGGGAGCAATAATCCCAGAACTCCTTTACCTGTATGTGGAACACAAGCTCGTAATTAAGTCGTAATGAATATACAAGAATATATACATAATCTTATGCATGACATAGAACAACAGAGTTGTAGTAGCAATGCAGATGGCAGATGGGTTAATATAGAGAGCTAGCCTTGAACAACGTAGATAAGTTGAGGTGCATTATGGTAGGCTGGCAAAGCTAGGCCATTGGGCTCAATGGTAATACGAAAAGCTGCAACACCAGCACATTGGAACTGATCGTCATTCTGATCCCAATACTCAATTAGACCAGCCTCGGCCTCGACCCGACGAAAAGGTTCGAGGGCATCAAGGTTATAGAGCTGGCACTTGCTTTTTTCTCCTCGGAACTGATGTTGGGGCTGGGTATGCTCTTGTTGTTGTCTGGCTAGGCAGCCATGAAACAAGACAAGGAGACAAAGAGTACCAAGGGAAAGAAAAGAATACTTGGCCATGGTGTAATTAACAACTTAGAAATATTAATTGTCACTTGATCAGTTGATGAGGTGAAGCGGCGAGTGGGATTGTTGGGTATTTATAGGGTGGATTGGTGATTTAGGGATTGACACCTTTCATTTGGTTGCAGAGAGGCTCTTTAGTCTCTCTCCACCTTGCATGACTGCTGTAGCTTTGTTATGAACACATATCTTATTTTGATAAGGGCAGATGTAGATGCTGATATGATCATCAAACAAGTGTAGAACTGATTACAAGGTGTAATATATTGTCCATATTTGAAGGGACACTTTGACGAGGATGGAGGTTGCATTAGCCACAGTAAGCCCTACTGTGACACCAAAAATCTGACTTATCTATTGTTTTAGAGCAGAGTGTCAATCAAAAAATTAAGAAGATATGCACTGCATGCATTTCATGACAAACATAGATCTTTAACAGGAAGCCTGCCCACTGCTCTTGATCATATAATGGTTTTGACATTTTACGGTTCATCGGTCCCACTATTTCATTCCACGCAAAAAAAAAAAAAAAAGTAAATCTGAGGAAGAATCCTCCCAATGCCAGAATAGCGGAAAGATGAAGCTAACCTTAGTGAAAGTGCCTCAATTGCCAACAATTGGAATTACATGTCGACCATAACAATGTGTTGTGAGCAGATATGTGGTACTTTCCAGGTGGTCATTGATGAAGGCACTAACCCTTATTTGAAGGTTAGCACTACTGCTGGCTTCTGCCTCAAATAATGTGCAACTAAATCATCAGTTGATAATTTCCTTGGGATTTTTTTTTTTTTTTATGTTTTGATAAATGGAGCTGCTTTAGATTGAATTTATCATTCGTAACCATACCGGGAATCCCATTGAATAAGAGATCAGATCCATTGGTGACAGATGTAATATTCTTTTGCTAGGAACTTCAGCTCTATTGCAGTTTAAATTTTGAGAAAATAATCATTGGGGGAGACTCATTGATTGAACGTAGTTCAAGCCCCGTTAGCCAGATCTTCCCCTCCATGATGTATCTGGATTGAGATTCTCGATTGCAGAGCGCTCCTCCAACTCTTCTGGTCTCATGGAGTTTCAGATGTACAAAATCGTCCTAATGAAGATAGTTAGATGCCCACCATCTGTCTTTGATTGCTTTGGAATTTTTGGTGCATAGTTACTTGGGTTGATGAAAATCACTGATTCTATTACCCTGATCTGTTCACTAAGCCAAACTAGTACTACAGATAAGGTTTTAATCCATGCCAAAAACAGGAGTTGATACCTTTACAGTTGAACGCCACTTGTTGGTTATTTTATTAGTTTATTAAATAAAATTTAATCCACAAAATATATATAAAAAAACCAATTAAAATATGGGACTCGTTTAGTATTAGAATAAGATGGTTTATTCATTTCTTTTTTTTTTTTATGTAGATACCATTTAATGGTTTGAAGCTATTTGATGATGTATGGGTCCAAAACCCTAATCATGTGATCCTGCAGTATGTAATAAAATTTCTAAGCATATCAAATAAATCATATTAAAAACTTTATAAAATCAATTTACATTGGTATTACCATGCAAAATTAATTACCAAAATGCATGAGCATTTTGAGTATATTTCCTTCTTGTGGCCTTCAGTACATCTCTATGGTAAAGATGGATCACAATTCAATATAGGGCTCCCTCCAATTAGTCCGGGCTTCAAACAATTGGATTGGAGTCAGAAGAGATTAAATACAAAGAAAATCTGGGGTACTGTTGTTATAGACACGTCAGCAAGTCTAAGCATTACCTCATCCCAAATGACCAAAAGAATTCAGACCTTAATTTGATCCAACAAAATGTATCAAAGTTAGGGGATATTTGAACTTTTAATGTGTTTAAATAAATCCTGGTCCTGGCCCAAGCTAATCAGGTTGGGCTAGAGACCAACATTTATTGAATAAAAAACTTTCTATGTAAACACCATTAGTGAATTTACCTTACAAGAAAGAATAAAATATAGTACAAGTTTTGATTTATTTGGGCTCAACTCACATGTCTAATCAAATTTGTTGATTGCTTTTCACTCTGTGGAATTATTGCACAGGATGGTTTTGGTCCATTATCATTTAACCATATATATTAATTCTTTATATGAAGGCTGGTTATCCTTTTGTCTAATAAAACCACTTATTTTTTGGGAGAATTACGGTTGAGTCCAGGGTTAAAATTTTTAGGTCCAATTTACGAGCGGGCATTGATGTATAGAATGGAGATTTTTGATATTTTGAATATTTATAGCTCTGTAATAGAAATCAGAAATTTGCATTAGGCCTATTCTTACTTTTTCGCTTATTTTTTGACTTAAAAAAATCACAGTAAATTAGCCACTCTTACTTGATGACACTTTACACGTGAGCTTTGTTATAAAGACCCCTAAATATGGATTCTACACACTTTACCTCTGCTGTTAACATTCCCTCAGTCAACTTCTTGGAATATTTCTTTTAACTTTTTTTTTTTTTTTTTTTAAATTCTTAACTCTCACATGCTTTTCTCAACTGTCTTCTAACAAATTCATATCTTGAGAACTTTGTGAATGATCGTTCATCAAACATCTTGAGAACTTCCTTTTACACGAGCAAAGCTGTTACAAAAGGAATGAAACAATATTAGTGATAGACCCTGTAGACCCTCTAACAGCAGCTGTAAACAAATCAAATGGGCGAAGACACTTGCTCAAGTATCTAATATGAAATCAGAGAAATAGGATATGACCCCAGACGAGACCCCAGAAGGCTGCGGTCCCAAGGGAAGGTTTTGCTCAGAATCTCATCTGTTTACTGATAGACTAGAGGTCGTACTCTATTTATACTGAATCCTCTAGTACGTTATCAAATTTTAATTTTCTGAAAGGGAGAGACTTTTTATTCTGAGAATAAATCGACCACTTGAACCTGTTCAGCCTCTAAGGTCAAGGGACAAGTGTCCCACAGCGATAGGATTAGTTGCCCAAAATTTATGAACTACCTTGCCAAATTGACCACACCAATAAGGAAGTAAATTGAAAACATGGCAATAGTTTGTTTAACTATAAATAAGCATAAGATAAGAGACAAGACAAAGATATTTATCCATGGGCGTAGGCTTAGGTTATTCTGTATCGAGGATTCGAGGGCAGTTGGCACTCAGATCTACAGTTAGCTGGAAAAAGTGGGTTATTGATGAAAAAAATTCCTGCAAAATGTTTCCAATGATTCATTGTTTTTATGCATAAGATATAAAAAAACAATTTTTATCTTTTAATAAATCCAAGAACTCACTATTGTGTTTGGATTGCCCACCATCTAAGATTAGCTCTATTGAGTAAATTTTGGCATTTATTGAATAAACGTTTTGTATTTGATGTATTTGACTATAAAACTAAGAAAAACAATTAATGAGGGTGTTTATGACACAGACGTCATTAGGCATCACATTAGTAAAAGTGTCACTAAACACTTACCTAAAATGAAGTTTCCTAAACTGGGAGAGACACACAGAAATCGATGTTTATTTTTATATACATCGATACGAATAGATGCACATAATGAAGTAGCCTTTGCTGATGGAACACCTATATGCCACCATTTATTCAATAAACACCAACGAAATCAAACACATACAAAATTTTTCTGAAAGGAAGATCCATTCTATTCCGAAATCAACCACTTGGACACGCTCAGCCTTTAAGGTCAAGAGACAAGTGTCCCACAGGGGTAGGATTAATTGCCATAAACTTATCAACTATCCTGCCAAACATTGGCCACACCAAGCAAGTAAATTGGTGACATGGCAATAGTTGGTTTGACTGTTAATTTATCAACTATCCTATCAAACCTCAGGCGCCCTTGAGCTTTGCGGCCCATGGGCCCACAGAGCAACCCCACAATTAACTCCTTCCCCGACAACCGTTGCCTCAAGGCCCTCGCTACCACCTAAATATTCAATAGAATTGTTTGAATTTAAACAAAGGCACCGAAACAGAGGAGAGAGGCAGGACCGTTGACTGATGGGCCCCACCACCTCCCTCGTCTCTCCCGAGTCCCGAGTCCAACAACAGCACTAACCCCGTTCTCAAGCGCAAAAACCGAACAAGTTTCTTCAGAGATTAACCGTCGATGCCTTCTTCTTCGGCGTTGACGAGATCTCCCCCTCCAAAATACATCCGCCTGGGTAGTTTCACGTTCCGTTTCTTTCTCCACCCTCCCCTGAACAAACTTAGCGTCGTCCATCTTAGAAGCGCCTGTTTCTTCTGCCTCTTCTGATTCCGCCGCCACCCACTGGATCCCTCTAGAAGGTTTGGCTATTAACGAAACAGGCTCTTCCACCATAAAACTGACCATGAACAGCTCCCCAAAGACTTCCATTGTCAATGCATTAGGTATTTCGTGCAAGGCTTCCGCCCAAACCATCATCCTTACAGCCTCGAGGTCTTTCAAATTGAGGTTATCTTCTCCAACTCCCGCGAAGCCACCAGCAACATTTCCTAGCTCCTTGAAGGCATCAAGACTCCAGTCATGGAGCAGTAAGCCAAATACTCTCACCCTCCACCGTTGGGTTCCTCTGTCGTTATAGTCTCTTTTTAATCCTAACGTCCATCGGAACAGGGTCAGGATCAAATCTCTACTTTCGATTCGGTATGGGCTTCTTTTTGCTAACCGTAGAGCTTCAGACTCTGAGTCCAGAAATCGGTCACCTGCCACGGGCCTGAACTCCGGTCCAGATTTGCAATTCCAAAGTCAAGGTGGCGTTTGATAAATCTGAAATCCGAAAAGTTAAAAAGATATTAAAAGTATCTTAAATTGAAAAAAGTTGTTGTTTGTGTTGGATCCACCATTCAACATCTGAAGTTTCTTGATTTTACTATTTTACCCCCAGAATAGACTATTTGATAATTTTGGGCAACGTTTTTGAATTGTTGTTGACTTAGACAGTTTGGACTCAAAATTGGTCACTTGAACGGTTCCAGGTTTACCTCGAACCTTCTTTTAGTGAAAAAAAATGTTGAAAAAGTCAAAAAAACGTCGACCCGGACAGTCGAACCCTCGACCCATTCGACCCAAGCAACAATTAGCAGTTCAGTATTTTGTAAATTTTGTTTTATTATTTTTATTTTAAAATAAAAATAAAACAAAAAATAAAATGACAAATACCTTCGAAAGTCTCCTCTTAGGGTTTTGTTTTGCCAAAACCCCAAAACAGAAGCCCCTTGCCCCCTTTAGGCATTCACTGAAGATGATGGCGACAATACATCGGCACCACCCTTCCCAGAATCCGAGCAAGCACCCACTGGCGACCAAAGTTGCAGCAACAACCGGCAACCAAAGATTCGACTTTCAAGTCTTTCTCAACCACGTCTTGAAAAGAACGACTTTCAAGTCTTATTTGAATTGAAGCTTAAATTGGTATATTTCTTTCTTATTTGAAACTTAAAGCTTTAAAATTTGGATTTTATATAATGCATCTTGCAAGAGAAACAAGATTTTTTTTTTCACATTTAGTTGGCATACTCTATAAAATTCTCGGCTGTAAAATTTCTCTGTCAAAAATGTGAGGAGAGATGAGATGGAGAAGTTGAGGGTGCATGGAAAAAGGAAAAGACAGTGAATAATGTGGGGAAGAGGCCTTCAACATTCAACAATTAATTACTGACTGCATTTGCAACATTTGTGGGGTGGAATGGAAGGCATCCCAAAATGCATAATCCTCCTGGGTGTGCAAAGTTTTGAGTTTGAGTTTAAGTTGGGCAAACTAAGAATCAAGAAACTTTATCAATCAAAAACATTTTTGGTTTAGCTAACCTATCCATTGAGAATGAAATGGAGAGTTGAAAAGACTTGTTGATTGGCTTGATTCAAGCATTCTCTTTTCTTAGTCTTCACAGTTCGTCCTCTAGGCCTAGGAAGGAATTTATTGTATGTAGCCTATGGCCCTTATAGTTCTCCTTTCTTAGTCTTCTGTATGTTTTGGAATTTTTTCTATATTTTTTGGAATTTTTCTATATATTCTGGATTTTTTTTGTATTTTATTATTTTATTATTTTTATATTTAGATATTTTTATTTTTTCATATGTTGTTCTTTTTCCTATATTTTTTGTGTATTTTATTTAATTTTTTATGGTATTTTTAGTATATATAAATATTTTGTCTTAAATTTATTTATGACATCACGGGTCAAACCGTTCAACCCGGATGGCTGAACTGCCAAACCAGAAAATAGTGCCTAGAACGGTTCCGTTTTTGGGTCATTTTTAAAACCTTGATTTTGAGTTCAATTTGCACTATTTCATATCAAACAATTTATGAAATTCAAAATAATATGAATAAAAAAGTAATAAATTAATAAATAATAAATAACAAAATTAAAATTATTAAAAGTAATTGATGACTAATAAAAATATTAAAGTAATTAATACATAATAAAAATTAAAATAATTAATAATTAAAAATATTTACATAATTAATACTTAATAAAAATTAAAATAATTATTATCTAATAAATAGTAATTTATAAAATAATTAATAATTAGTAATTTACACAAATAAAACTTAAAATAATTTTAAAAAATTAATTACTAATTAATATTTAGAATTATACTGTAATCCGGAACAATATGCATATACATATACATTTTACTCCTAAAAGTAATAGATAAGATGGATTTCAAATGAAAAAGTGGTTTGTAGTTGGGTTGAGCTTGGAGTTCATGGTGTGAGTTAGGATGAATGAAAAAACTAGAAACATACACAAACATACAACTGAAAAAAAAAATGATAACCAAATTCATCAATGGTTTGGAGATTATAACAACTGTAATTAAACAAATCAAAATCAACATAAACATAACAGCCATTTGAAGTGTAGCCGTTTGAAGAAAAACAAGGTAATAAACATAAAGATTAGAGCAACTGTAAGCCAGTGTTTGTTAAACATAAATAGTCATTTGAAGAAAAATATCTGAACCCTATGAATAGTCATTTGAAGAAGAAGAAGAAGAGGAGGAGGGTACCTTTGACGAGACGAGCAGCGATCTTCTGTTGAGACAAGCGGCCATCTCCAAATAAGACGAGCGGCGATTGTGAGGATGCTCTCCTAAAGAGAGAACACAATTGGAGGAAAATGTTAAGTTTTGAGGCTAATAGGCGTAAAATTTCGTCATTTTCGTGTTTTTTGGGAAGTATTTTCGACTTTCGGCTCGCTTTGAAACGTGTCTGAATGTGTTTAGAGCCAGCCCATGAGCTTTAAACTTCAGATATGAAAATGAGATTCAGAGAAGTAACACCAAACGGCTCTGATGTCTGGAAAGCAAATTTTCAGACACTGAACCTCTGAAAAGCATTATGAAATGCCCCCTAAAACTGCAACACCGACACCTTATGACTCTCCCCCCTTCGAACTCCCCTATCAAGCACCTCCTAAACCATCACTCCTTTTCTTTCACCCCGATTCTGGTGATGCAAACTCTGCGACCTGCTGACAGCAAACCGAGGCTTTACCCGTCTTCGAAAATCTAAACGACATTGTGCCACAGCTTCTCCTTGAGGCGAAATGTTTTCAAATTACTATGGATCAGCAAATCAATCGAACCAGACCGTGGTTGAGGTATGGAGGCGGAGTTATGTATTTGGGGTTTTCTCTTGGATAGTAGTTTTTGGCTTGTGAGAGAAGTTGATCAATTTAGGTGTATTTGCTCCCTAACTAGGGTTTTCTGTGATTGAGGCGGTGTTCACAATACTCTTTACCATTGCTGACTCTGTAGTGGATTTCGGCTCCTCCTTCGCCATAGAGGTAAACTATAAGTCGATCCACGTAAATTTGTCCGACAAGCATATATGCTTATTTGCGTGATATATGGACCTTTCAAAGCCAAAAGTTGTGAAAATTTGTATTTTATTCATTACCAACGAAGGCTATTTCAAGAAACTCATAATTCAAAGTTAAGCAGCATATATCTCTTTGCCTATAAAGGCATTGTTATTCCTAACCTAATCCATCTTCATGTCGATAATACGAACTTATTTTACATCACAGAAAAGCTTCAGTAAGATTCGGACCTTGGTCCAAAGACTATCAATTCGTCTCTGTTGAACTTCAACCTCTTTGCTTCCTCATTAGAAATCTGGTAGACGTTAACAAGGACCTCCTCTGGCATGGCTCGAATAGCTGATGCCCTTCCAGCAAGTGGGCTTTTCATTGCATTATCACTAGTTTTAAATGAAACCCACTCAAATCCATTGTCTGCTGCCTGTTTCACTACGGCGAAGTTTTGTGGAATGATCACAATCTGACCTTCACGAAGTTGTCCATCAAAGACAGCTTGCCCATAGTTTGCAACAATTTGAACCCGGGCTTCACCATTAAGAACGTAGATCACACTATGTGCGTTCATGTTCCAATGAGGAGACATCATAGAATTCTGTATGTTCAAGAAATCCAATTCAGTAAGTATAACAAATTAAAGTAATTAAGCATGAGTCCAACATCAGCATCAAGGATTATAACCAAGCAAACAATGTAAAAGGAGCTATAGTTCCTTCATTATACCTTATAGAGATATCCTCTCTCAGCACTGAGGTCGAGGAAACTGAGAATAGGGAGGCTTTGGCTATTGACATTGGTGACACGTCCTCCAAACGGGGTGTATACATCAGCACTTGTGGCTTTTCCAATGTTTTGTCTGAACCTCATGTTGCAAAAGGACTCCTCTAAACCATTTGCTTTCATTTGATTTTGTCGTTGCTGTTCTTGTTGTTCCTCTTCCTCTTCACTTGATATTGATCTTATCACTTGAAGCCCCTCTTCAACATGTATGATACGTCCCCTCTCGTCATTCTTACCCTGTAGTTTTCTCACTGTCTCCTTCTCCACACCAAAAGCTTGAGCCAATAACTCAGCATCAAAGCCACTGAATATGTTGTTACCAAAACTCTCTTCTTCAGCCTTCTCACGTCCTGATGATGAAGACCCTCTTTGTTGTTGTTGTTGTTGGTGGTGGTGGTGTTGCTGTTCTTGTTCTTGTACATTACCAGCAAGATAGAATTTCTTAACATGCAAATCAAATAATCTGTTGTAAGCATTCATGCATATACATAACAAAATAATATACGCAAATTGGTTAATTAGATGGGTAAGACGACTGTGCTTACTCTGATTCTATCATCGAGCTGGTTTAAATTGTTGCCTGTGTCAGCGATGCCAACAGCAACAACGGGTGTGTCACCGTCATTGAAGAACCAATAGGCAACTCCATTTGGAATGGCAATAATGTCTCCCTTCTTGACACGTCTGAGCTTCTGGTGTACATCCTCATGTCCTTGACTTCTGCTATCTTGATCCTTAGAACTTGGGCGTCGGCTTTCTTGATCCTCAGATTGCCGAGAATGGTCAAAAGAGTGAAATGTTTCAGGGCAACCAGGAACTAGTAATCCTAGAACTCCCTTACCTGTACATACTCGTCATAATTAAACAATAATAAATATAAATATGAGAACTGAAGCAATAAATTTCACTAGCAACAGAGACAGGGTAATCTAGAGAACGAACCTTTGACAATGTAGATGAGTTTGGGTGAATTGTAATAGGCTGGCAAGGACAGGCCCTTGGGCTGGACGGTAATACGACAAGCTGTGACGCCGGCACACTGGAACTGCTCGTTATTTTCATCCCAATACTCAATAAGACCAGCTTCGGCCTCGATCTGATGAGTGGGTTCGAGGGCATCCAGGTTATCTATTCGACATTGCCTTTGTTCTCCTCGGAACTGGTGTTGGGACTGAGTCTGGCCTTGGTGCTGTTTCTGTTGTTGTGTAGATAGGCAGCCATGAAACAAGAAAAGGAGGCAAAGACTAAGAGAAAGAACGTAAGATTTGGCCATGGTTTGTTACAACTTGAGAGAGAGAGACTGTCACAACTGATTTGAGGTGAAGCGGCGAGGGGGATGCTGGGGTATTTATAGAGTGGATTGGTGGGTTAGGGATTGACACATTTCTAGTGGTTGCAGAGGGGATGTTCTGCCACTTTTCAGCTTGCATGGATACTACAGAGTTGTAGTGAACACACCTATTTGGATTATAGCAGGTTTTTATTCCAACAGCTGTATAAACTTGAAATGTTCGTTTCTGTATTTGGAAGGATATCGTCCACATTAATCCCAGCTGAGCTTCTTGTAAAAATGGACCATTAATTTCTCCAGAAATGTACCCGTCGAACAAAAGGTTAAAAATCCTGCGGCTCGCATAACCAAGCCTGTCTTTTGCGGAGGATATATAGGCCAACAATTATGAAAAAAAAAAAAAATAATCCTTTGGCTCTGTTCATGCATATATAGAGCTAAATAGGGTTTTTGTCCCGTCTCAAATCCGATTTGATCCGGTTCAGGTGGTCCGATTTAGATATTCATTTGCAATTTCATCGAACATGAATCCACCCTTACAATACATACTCCGGTTCGACTTAAATTTTAGATGGCATAGTACTGCACTTTTTATCTAGCAACATTATACTCTTTCTCAAAGGTGGATTTGGAGCCATTAGTAGCAAGGCTCGAAATAGTTACGCGCCAATTAAGCCACCACTCGGTTGGTTCAAGTTTTACATTAAGGGTCTATTTGATGAATTCGGATTTCTTATCCCATACCTATCCATAGGACATTACAATTGTACACTAAGAATATTTCCCCATGAATAGTAATATGTAAATATTGGAAATTTTCTCAATGTGTGGGTAGGAGATTTAAACTCCTATTTGATTTGTAGTTGGAATTAAAATCGAAATCAGAATGATCTATTCGCATACTCTATTAGGTTCGAAGTAAGAATTAGAATACCACGGAATGAGATTTTATTCTCAAGGGAGGGGGTCAGAATGGCCATTCTCTCAATCAAATTCTGATTCCGCCCAACCAAATGGTTGAAATCAAAATGTCCAGACCCCTATTATCGTGAACCAAATCTACTACTTTTGATCATTTTAGTTTGATGTGTTATTCCATTCAATATTAGATTACAGTCCAAATTTCAGATGTTTTTGGTGGAAAATCCAAGTTTTGGATTGAAATCGAATAAACAGGGATGTCTATACCGTATTTTGGTCCAATCTAATAAGAATCCGATAAATTGATCCGCCCAGTCCGTCTGAAATGAAAAAGATCCTTTGTTCTTGGATTTAATTTAATTATCTTTATAGAAGATATGGCTTTTTTAAGGTCGGTAAGGTTTCATTCAACTCAAATTCAGTTGTTACAAATGGACCTGTTGACGGGCTGGGCGTCGAGATCAGCCCATTAACATTTTAAACTGCTTTGCGCTCGGGTTTCGGGCTGGGCCATTTAACTTTTGGCAAAACCTCAGCCCAAGCCCGGCCATGCTCCAAGGATATTTTCAAGAAAAGGTAGGAGGGAGGGACCAAGTTACAACTGTATCACAGAAAAAAAACTGAGCTATACAGTGAGCTGCAGAATTAAAGTTCCTTATAGTAACACACACTGAGAAATTAGGTGAAACCCTAAGAATACTCCAATTGGCTATAACAGTACACCCAGCTCCAGAGCCATCTGCATTTCTCCCTATTTTGACTTGCAGGATTGAATAGGAAAATAAATCGTTGGACCCAGGCAGCAGTGGTATATGGGACATCAAACAGGTTTTAAAAACCCAAATCCGACTTAATATGCCTTATTACCTTGTATTTATTTAATTATGATGATATTTTTCATTATTTATAAATATTTTTATGATTTTATTTTATTTATGACATTATTGGTCAAACCGTTTGACCCAAATAGTTGAACTACTGACTCAAAAAACAGTGACCATACTGGTTCCATTTCTAGATCGGTTTTCAAAACCTTATTCTTTATGGACCTAAGAAAATTGACCATGTTAAGGAATCATACATTCTTATCAGCACCTCATCTATAGAGCATTGTAGTATGTATATTTTAGCAAATCCAATTTGCACTATATCATGTACAAGACTCAGCATTTGAACTGGATTGGATCATTAATGGACCCAAATTAGTATAGATCCAATCCGACAATAAAAATATGGATTGATGGTCCAATCTAATCGTATATCCATAATGGATGTCCAAACCCAATTTGACAGCCCTATTATTTTCTTGGTGGTCAGTGATGGATGCACTATATCCTTGCTAGACCATCGGGACAAAACGAGAGAACAACCCAAGGGCTGTGCAGGTACAGCTCTGTAGATGTGACGGGCTGGGGCTGAGAGTTGAGACTGGGCCGTAGTTTATCAAGTATCCTGGCCCACTCCAGTCATGATCAAAACTCAAAAGCTTAGGCAGCCTGGGTTCCATCCTTTGTATATAATTACTTGTTAGATGTCATTTCACTGGGGTTGGCCACATAATTACACGCCATGCCAACCCAGCAAGCCAGCACATAAGCATAGGACTAGCCTAGTTCTGAGAAGTTGACTATCTGGCCCAGTTTTAGATGGTACGACTTCCCTCTTTAATCTTTAGAAAAGCCATCTAATATGGATTTCTAAAAGCAGACAAGGTTGAAGCAAGTGCAGTAGTGGCCATAGATGAAGTAAGGTTATTCACCAACTGCTACAAAGGAAGTTGGTTCTATATAAATTCTTGCTATTAAGGGGGTGTTTGGCAGGCGGCAGCATTATTGAGTTTGTTTTTTGGTTGGACCGTTCGACCTGGGAACCAGACCCCTAACCGATTTATTGTCCTGTTCGATTTTAAAAGCCTTAGTTTTGAAAGACAAAATCATATACAATGTCCAACACCCCCTAAATGGTTCAGTTGTCATTGAGGATTTGAGGTCCACTTGAACTTGATTATTTTAATGAACTAATAAAGAAGAAAGTATTTTACCTAAAAAAGAAATAAAGAAGAAGAAAGTGAAATTCCTTGGAAATTTCATTTAAATCTCTATAATACTCTAGGACCAAACACAGACAAAGTTTTATACAAAAACCAACCGGGTCTTATGTCATGGCTGAAATTGCTGAACTCAATGATTTATTGCTTTGTCACTTAGAGAATAGAATAGTTAAAATAATAAAATATTTAAGGGTATGGTAATCTATTGAACTTCAGCTTTAGCCATTAAGGAGCATACAACCTCCTTAGAAACCCATTCATTAAAAGCCGAAGCAATAGGATTTCAGTTCAACCACTTCAACTCTTATCAAACATCCCCTAAGCAAAGGTGCTAAGGATACAATTTATTTTTATGTCCATTTACGCCACCTATTTGGAATATTTTATTGGGACCCGTCCCTACTACAACCAGTATCTTTTTCTCTTTGATGGGAAAATTAAAACAAATTTATCAATATTAGAAAGTAGAGTTCATTACATCCATTTAGGGGTGTCAATTGGACTGTATTTGGTCCAATTCCATCCAGTCCAATGTGAGCATTACAAATGGACCGGGTCCAATCCAATCCAATGACTAATTTGGACTATTTTGGACTGGTCCAATTCAATATTTGGATCATCCAATTTGTTCAAATTCATTTTAATTTAGATTGATTTCAACCCAAATCTGGTCCATTAACACTTATATTTTTATCTTATATTAATGAACTGGATATTGACTTAATCCAACCAAATCCAATATAATTTATTCTTTTTTTTACGATTAAATCAGGTCCAATCCAATCTAATAAATATTTTGAACCATCCAATCCATCCAAATTGATTTTGGTCCGTCCAATCAATTTGAACCATCCAATATCTTGTCTTTTTGGTCCGTCCAATCCATCCAAATTGATTTTGGACTGGACGGGGTCAGTGCATCCATTGAAAGACTATTTAACCAACTAGCTTGGGTGACGCTCCTCCCAGAGAAACCTCCCCTGGATTACATTTTATATACTGATCTCTGATCAGTATTATTAGCAATAGAGTTTCCAAATCTTCATAAAAACAAGAGAGAGCTAGTTCATATCCTGTACCAAGGACAAATACATTCTGCTGTAGCTAAACATGACCATGGTATAGTGTCGGAGCTTCTATTCCAAAATTTAATAAAAGGAGTCAGATTATTCCACAATAACTGATAATAACCAACCCTTGCTCTTATCTAAAATCAGCCCTTGTACATATAGCTTAGAACTCAGCTTCTATAATTAAGGTCCACAACTATTTTGCATAATCCCCCACCTACAGCACAAACATTTCCTTAATTGGTTAGCATATTCAAGCTATTGTTAGATTCTGTAAAGAAAACTCTATCAAAAAATATGGTCTAGTGATGGGTTCTGTTTTACCCCAGAACCATTATTTTCTCAAAAATCATTGATTTGATTAGTAAACTGCTGACCCAGGTGATTGAACTATTTAAACCATTAAATAGTTGGGCCGATTTTTTTTTTACATTTTTTAATTTTTTTATTTTTTTCAGAACAGGCCATTTATTCAATTCAAACGGTCGGATCATTTAACCCGAGAATCAGACCCTGACTGATTGTTGTCCGACTCAATTTTAAAAATCTTACAAAAAAAAAAACAAGTATTTCTTTCTTTCTTTCTCTCCTTTTCTTTTTTTGCATGGTTCATTATTGCTAGAAAACAAATCAAGTGTGGGATATCTTGCTGTAGTAGTTGAGGAATAATTTGATAACCTATCAGTACGTACGTCTGGCAATTTTCCAGGTGGGGCTGAGGAGTTACAGTATATACAAGTGGTTCTGAGTTGTCTGGGGCCTGGCCTGAATCTGATCAGTGATCCCCTCCCTTACCCTGACATACATGATACATTCCTTAGGCCAATAAAGATTTAATATGTCTACTATTTAGAAGATTTTAGCATAAATATTTTGTTCCCTCTTGTCTCAAGTAATTGGTCTTTTCTCATTTAAGCTTCCTCAAGGTAAAAATAACGACTATAGTTGATCTTGTTGCTTCTTTGGCGATATAGGTCAGTGGTTTACAAATTATAATTTGGTCCAGAGTAAAAATAAATTGGGCCTTATTTATTTATTCT